CTCTGTAAGGCTCACTCCTTACAGAGTAGAGTTGAATATTGTATTACGCTAAAAGCAGATCCATCGAGGAGAATATATTTTATTTCATCTATGACTATTCCGTCAATTGCTTCCTACAATCATTTAATTTCTTAACTTCGGTCTTTACTTTTCAGTTTTTGGTTTGAAATTAATTTGTATGAATATGTACAAAATCACAAGTCAGTTATTATTTAGTTTCTTCTGTCGTGATTTACTTTTGTTTCATTTTGCATAACATTCGTTAATGTTGAATTATGTGGTCAATATACCTATGACTAGATCCGTGCATAGCACCAGCATGAACACTAGCATATATTATGAAAGCTGGTTAGAATAGCCTAATGTTGTTCCATCATGTATCGAAATCCTGTGAGTTCTCATCTTTCATATGAATGGACATGATTGATCCATGATACACGTTCAGAGCTCATAATTAAAACTAAAAATCTTAATTATGCCACTTCCTTTATAATTAATGTATCTCGAACAATTTTTTTATGTAATTTGTTAATTTGACCATTACTTCGTATACGTGACAATAAATAAAAAAAAAGCTAAAGTCGCCATAGAGAATTTGAATCAACTTTTTTTAAAAAAAATTTACTGGACCTTTAAGTGCCAAGATAAATAAGAATTTTCTATTATTTATTGAGTAAGAGTCATACAAATTATGTAGTGTTGTTTCAAGTTATCAACTAACCCAATTATGTTAATAACATAATTATGCATTTCTAGATTATTGAAAAAAATGATATATTCAAGGTGCTTCTTCAATTATGTTAATGACATTCACTGAGCAATACAATTTAGATTAAGTCTTCAATTGTCTTTTTATTAAGTACATGTGTACTAATGCATCTACATTATCATATTGGATTTAAATTGTGAAAAGGCATATTAAACCCTAGAAAACGAATTGTAAAAATTCTTCGTACATGTAAAACCATGGCATAAGATCTTATTACTTGAAATTGAACATAATCTTAAGTTGATAGCCAATAGTTAGAGGTGCAAATAATTTAACTGAAATCTTTCTTTTTGTAGCTCAAAGGTTGAACCCTACACACGAGCAAATTGCACATATTCACGGTTGGAAATTGATGATAGAATAATGGATTCGTTCCGTTAACTACTTGGTCGAGTAGTCCAGCTACAAACATTCTAGGAAAATTACAATCCTTCACAAAGAAGTCATGAAGAAAAAGTAACTTCAAAGTGGCGAGCACTGAAAATTACCATTCATAAAAAGTTACTAATGATAGAAGCCTTGTGGTCGCGAGCACTTGCAGAGAATTGCCATAGATAGGAAAAAGCAGAAAAGTGAATTGAGGAATTTTATGTATATTTCGATGTACGTTGAAGAAGAATACATGAGCTTATTCAGAGGCTTTATTAAATGACTATCTAGGATAACATATTAATTAAGAAATATACAATCAAATAAAGATATAGACACAATCTTAAAAGATACAAATAATCAACATAATTATCATAATATCTATAACATAGAGAAATCCCTAATTATCTCTAACATCATATACGGAAGTTATCTACTAGTAATAGATAGATCCGTCACTAATACATGCACATGAGGAGAACAATGATTTCACCGGTGAAATTACTAACCATTAGTATCCCCAAGGGCCAAGGTATGAGCATTTGAGGAAAATTACAATCTCACAGAAAAATTAGCAAAGATAGCACTTTTAAGTTATGAAAACTAACAAAAATTCTTTCAAAAAGTAGCTAAGACCGGTACATCCAAGTTACGACCACTTGAAAAAGATTATTGTCCTTATGTGAGATTTGCTACTGATAGTTATTGTTGGGTATATGTGGCCGATTGTGGAGGATCGGGATTACGGGCAAACCATTAACTAGTACCGCAAAAGATTGAGAATTTTCAACCTCTCAATCTATGAGAAAGAAACATGTTGCAAGCTTAGCTGTTGGATGTACTGGATTGTAAATATCAGTACAAGGCATTCCCCGATCATGACATGAATAAAACGGTCATGAAACTAGGAAGAGCATACCACCCAACCCCCTTTTGTAAGCGTACGTATGCGTTATTGTGGCCCATCCGTCCCATCCCGTCCCGTCCCTTCCCGTCCCAACCCAACCACTCTTTCTTTCCGAGTCTCCAAGGCCATCATGAACCTCTTCTTTTTTGGTGTCGGTCAATGTGAAACACACTGAGTTTGCCACCGGCTGTCCGCGTGGCCTTGGTGCCTTCGATTCAAGTCTTTCGCAAACGCGTCTTTGCGTTGAATTATCTACCGGAAATCTTGTCTTGCACGAAAACATTTGTTGGAAATCAACGGCGACTTACGCGAGGGAACTATTTGGGAGACATACCATAAATGCTTTCCCAAGAAAATGAAAGATAAGGAGCTCCTGAAAGTCATCGTGAAAGCTAAGGTTCCTAAAGGTTAAGGATCGATGTCTTTCCAAATTTGTGGGCTTCAGGCTTTGTGGTCAAACGTGTGAATGTTTGTTCGATGAATTTCGATTACGCATTTATCAGGATAAGGATACTTTTGTATGGTGTTCATTTGAGTGTCACGATATTTTTTTTTCGATCACTTAATTGTCATAACTTATGCACAACGCCCACTTGAGTGTTATAATATTTTTTTTATCATTTGAGTACAATATAACTTTTTAATTGATCAGTTGAATATCATAACTTTTTAAAAACATTCACCACAAGTGCTATGTCACAAAGTATTTTCGGCATTTGGGTGAACGTCTTAAAAAAAATTTCCAATTAAATAATCGATTGAAAGTTATGACACTCGAGGGCAGTCAAGTGGTCGAAAAAAAAGTTATAGCACTCAAGCGAGTGTCGCACAAAATTTATGACACTTGTTATAGTCTTATCCCTACATTTCCCTCACGGGGCTACAAGTGGAGCAGTAATGGTTTCCAATTTAGCAGGAAGAACGGTGCTCGTAAATAACAAGCGCACTGGAAAGCCGCGGAATAGAAGCAGAGAGAGAGTCTCCCAGATAGAGAGAAAAAGCAAGAGCTGGCTCATCCGCTGCCGAGTGCGGGCTCGTATGAGCTTCGATTGCTTCATTATTTGATTTTCGAAGCGCGCTCTTTTTGTAGTTCTTGATAAAATTGTACGCACCATTCATGTTTGTTTGAACAAAAGAACACTCAAACGCTAGATCACCTTTCATTTTTTTTTCCTTCTCCAATGACTTACCCTTCCTTTTTTTGCAATTTTCTACTTCAAGATGCAAATCAATCAGGGGGGAAAATATAGGCAAATTTATAAATAAATAAATAAAACGAGTGGATTTAATCGTGGAAGAGCCTCGACCGGCAACGTGGGCATCTCCTTGTGAACCAAACCATGGGTAACTGGATTTAGCTATGGTTGAGCCCCCACCGCTTAATGTGGAGTGAAAGGCTTTTCGTTTCCCGACTTCGGGTGCGTTTGATTCAGCTTTGGAAAGAGGCTTTCTGTCTCGAAAGCTCCTTCTCAAAATATTGAACTGTTTGGTTCAACTTTCGACCTAACATTGGCCAAATGCTAACATTTGGAATGCCGAAAGCCCAAAACTGGTCCGGACCAACTTTGGGCTTTCGGTATTCTACAAATGCTGAACTCAAATTTTTGTCCCCAAACTGCCCTCACTTATTTTGGCTTATTCCGGTTTTGCCCCACTTGTTACTGTTCATCTTCTTCATAGGTGGTCGGCGAGGGAGGCCAGCGAAGGTGGCCGACACCTCCAAATCTCACAACAGAACCACCTCCACATATGGTTCTCTTTGGGTTCCATGTCCCAGATCAAAATGACACCGTTTCTTTCATCGTATATAGCACGATATGATATATCTTGCTATTTCAAACGTCCAGAACGAGCATCAATGGAACAAATCCACCTTGCACATCGTAAAAATTCTGATTTTTGAATGAAGATTACTTAAAATCAGAAGACGATTTTTCTGGACAGGATGAATTTGATTAATATTCTGCCGTTGTCAAATTTGACACGTAAATCTGGTCAGTGAATCCAAAATAGCTAGGGAATCTTCTAAAGAAAATATAGCTTTGGATCATAACGTTCTAATGAATTACCACAAAAAGAATGGTTAAGGGACTGAGATAACTAGACTTAAGAGTACGTGTGGCTTATTCGGAGCAATTGATCCTCCAATTGAGCATCCTCATGGATAGATATGAGATGGCAAGTATCTGCACAAGCGAATAAACATAACCAAATAGATTTCAAGGGAGGAAGCCAATCAGCCTTCAAAATTAGTACTTCGAGAAGATTAAAACTCGGATTTGCTTGTGATGGTCATTGATAGGTTATCCAGGATAAACAATCTTCACTTGTTGGCTCATGAGATCTCACGTATATAGAGTGCATTCTAATCGCTGTCAACGTTGTCAAGGGAATGATTTCTTTGAAGCATCATGTCATACTCCTTGATCAGCTTCCCCGTACCTTGAATCACGCAATTGAAGGGAAACAATACCCTGTTGTCATGGAAAATGATGAAATTCAACCTAATTATTTTATGCAAAGGCAAAGCAGACAAAAAGAAATTTTTATTCACAGTTCCCTATTTCATCAATCAATGTAAAGTTTTGGATATTGAGCATTTTTCGGCCCTAAATGAAAAATACAAATAAAGAAAAGAACTAGCATACCCGAAAAGAACTTGGCTCATGAAAAGGTTTTTAGTTTTCGCGTTCAACGTAAAGGAAAGAAAAAAGATTCTTCATTTCTCCTCTTTTTGGGTTCTCTTGAAAATATGTTTGGTTGGTTTCAAATAAGAACTCCGGATAGGAATGAAAATTTAAACATGTCTGTTGTGGCTTGGCAATCCATCATTTTGTGCTTTCTTTGAACTAATAATCCATCTTTTCATTTGGTGATTACAAAGTACCATAGCGGGCTATCAAGAAAAATGGTCTTATCAAGCAGGAAATGCTGATGAAATTGGCAATACATCTCTGCCATGAATAATGTGACCTTTATTTACTTTTGAAAGGATACTGTTAGAATAAGTGATCAACTTTCAAGAAGCATCTAAATCTCTCCTCTATATACAAGCAACATATATCTTGGATTAGTCAAAAAGAGCCCATGAATTACTTGATGAGTAGGCAAAATTCTAGCCATTGGTCTCACAGTAGAGTCGGTGGATAGACATGCTTGACTTTTATTGGGTACAGTAGCTTAAAGAGCGATGCAGTTCGGGGTAGCCAGTCTCTTAACTCTCTACTTTTTCAGGGTAGATGCAGTTTACTGATAAAAGCAGGAAATGCTAGCACAAAACTAGACTCAGAAAGTTAGAAAGAACATCACATGCAAAAGGCAAAAAACCTATTATCTAATGATAGAAGTAAGGCCTCCTACTATGATTTGTACATGAGATCTGGTGTCCCGATCATCAATTTGGTATCAAGACGAAGGTACCATGAAATCCATAGGGTACTCGTTGAGGCAGAGTGATTTTGGCTACTGGCTCGCCTTCAAACTTCTGCGCATCAATCACGTGAACCTGCAAATTTCACAATCTCAAAATCACATCGTACGTCATTACTGGTAGGCAAAGCTACATGATGATTGTATCAAAACTCTTAAACTTAACCTGGGACACATCTGTTTCTTCATTATGTACCCAAGACAGGATCCAACCACTGTCCTCTCCGACGCCGTCTTTCTTAGGGAGAACACACCCGCCGCAGAAGCTGTCCGTTTTGAAATTATGGTACTCAACCTTCATCAACTTCTTGTGATATCTTCCTCTCTAATTCAAGGCTGCAGTAAGGTACATTTCGACATGTACAATGGATAATTAGAATGACTCGAAACACTTTCACTAATAACTCAGAGTCAGACAGCCTAGGACAAGGTTCGTCGAAGTATAATTTCACTAGACCTCCATATTTAGCCATTCCTGAATCAAACAAGTGATGCGTAAACAATAGGAAACCGGTCTCATGCGCTACTTTGGGCAAGTGGACATGGACTAGAGAGTAGAGACTAGCATTGCATTACCACATTCAGAGCTTGACTTTGAATTGATGACTTGAGCATAACCACACTTGTTACGCAAGCCAGTCAAATTGGCATTTATGAAAGGGAAGTCCATAGACAATTCAGTGCCCCTAAGATTCTACTTCTGAACTTCCCTGTAACAGTCTGAATTTCGATTCTTTTCCTGGGATTCATGAAATGAATATTTTGGCCAATGCACTTATAGTGAGATCTCACCCGGAAATGCGCATTCTCGGGATGCTAACCTTAGGGGTAAGGCTATTACGGGATTGAGTTCGCACGACCAAAGAACTCGACCTGGGTTCGATCTTCGACCATATGGATTGACGAGGGAATGTTTTGAGCCAACCGAGACCGATCTACTTGATTGATCGTGTCCAAAGGGCACTAGCGACAGACCCTCGCAATTATATGACAACCGAGGTCGTCCCGGGTGGAGTAAACCTAAACGTGATTTGACTTAGTGTCGGTCACGGGTCGAGAGCGCGTAATTCCAATGAGCCACCCGTTAGCCAGAGATAAGCTAAAGTCGCGATTGCTCGATTTTAGTCATTTCTTGGAATTCGGGCCCGGGAATCGAGAATTTTGAAAGTGACAATTTTGGATGGCCGATGACGTTTTTGGCTTGGCCAACCTTGGGGCCACTCATTTCTGCAAAAAAATGGATTTCGGTCCGGGGCCGGAAAAATTACGGTTTTGCCCCTGTGGGCACCGAGGCTGGATTCGGAGGCCGTTTGAGGTTATTTTTCGCGGCCAAGGTCATTTTGGGGTGGCCACGCACATTTAGAGTGGTTTTGGCCAAAAATTGGAATTTCGACAAAAATTGGAAAAATAATATTATTTTATTCCCGAGACTTTGACGTGGATTTTCGAGGGCTTGCGCGATGAATTTCGTGATTCCGACGCCATATTATGTTGGCCACGCACATATGGAACACGTATGTGCGAAAATTGAAATTTCGGTTCGGGATCGGAAAATTACGAAAATGCCCCTAGGCCATTTTTGATTAATTCCGAAAATTGGATTTAATTTTGGGATTAACCAAGGTGAGTTAGGCTTAACTCAGGTCTGGTCAACCATGGTTAAGAGCAAATGACCATTCTACCCCTAAATTATTGGATTGGATCAAATTTGGGCCCTTGGATTAGGGGCAAAATTGTCCAATGGGCCTAGATTGTGACACTTGGACTCCACTAAGCTATCTTTGACCCATTTGACCGGATAGTCTTCTCTCTCTCTCGTGCGCACCCATTCAGCCATATTTTCCCCGAATTTTCCTCTTCTTCTTCACGTTTCGGTTCTGCAGTCCCGTTTCTGCCATTTTCGATCGTTCACGCCGAACAAACATTCCGGCAGTCGCTTGCCCCCTAAGCCAACATCACCAGCAACCATTTCCACCTCTGTGCAGCCACCACAGCCCCGGCTTTTGTCCAAAACGGCCTTGTTTCTCTCGTTTTTCTCTTTCTCGGTCTGCAACAAGCAGTCACCGCCGGAGCTTCGCCGGAGCTCCGATCGCCATTCCGTCGACACCCGGCCGTGCATGGCCCTCGCCAGACGTCGCCGTCCGACACCGTCCGTACAAAGTGTCCGTACGGTTCATCGTTCACACGTACGTACGGATCACTTGCTTCGCCGCCGGGCCGTGGGCGCCGCATATGCACCGGCACTCGCGCAGGCCACCGTCCCCAGCCCTGTCCGTACGAAAGCACTGTTCACGCCCGTCCGTACGGGGTGCACTGCTCACGCCGTCCAGTACATCGCCGGCGACATTTTCTGCTGGCCGGGCTGTCCCGCCCGTTCAAGCCCCGATTCTGTATCGCCTTTTTGGGTAAGTGTTTTCCCCAAATGTCATTTAGGACCTCGGGTATTTCTAGACTCGTTTGAAGTTCGGTTTAAGTGATTTTAGGGACTGTTTGCTGGCTGTGATATGCCGTGTGATGTGCTGTGAGTGGCTGTTCGATACGCAGTTAGTACCATTAGGACCGGCTCGTAATTTTATGAAAGTGCCGTGAAGAGCCGGGAGTGAGATATGGTGATTTTGAGGGCGAAAAAGACTGATTGATGGCTGTGATGTGTGGTTTTAGGTCTTTGTGGGGTGCTTTGTTTGTCGTGTGGTTGGTACTTGGTTAGGTCCGGCCCGAGATTTTGTGAAATTGTCGTGAAGGGCCTGAACTGATTTGATAACGTTTGGGTGTGGAGAAATGCCAGTTTGTGTGTTGATCGTGTGTGTTGTGATATGACTGTGTGGTTGTGGCCGATTTGGGATTGTGCTTGGGGCGATTGTGGGTCGCCATGTGTCGCGTGTGTGTGGCCGTGAAGTGTGGTGGTGTGATAGTGCATTCGCGTATTGTATTCGCGTGCCAACAATGTGTGATTGGGTGTTCGTGCGGTGTTTGTGTGACGAGGTTGTGTAAATGTGAAATGTGTGTGAAGTGTGTATGTTTGGCAGTGTATTTGTGTGGTGGCGTGGCAAGTGTGGTTTGAGTGGAACGAGGATATGGAAATGTGGTTTGGTTGGAAAGGTCCGTCCTGAGGCATGTACGTTTACGCGGGACGATGCCGTCCCTGACGAGGTGACGATGCCCGGCCTGACGAGGTGTCGATGCCTGACGTGGTCAGAAGACCGTTGGCCTGATGCGTTTACGCGGGCGCGGTAGAAGGAAAGTGTGTGTAGGATTCCGTCCTGAGGCGTGTACGTTTACGCGGGACGATGCCGTCCCTGACGAGGTGACGATGCCCGGCCCGACGGGGTGGCGATGCCTGACGAGGTCAGAAGACCGTTTGGCCTGATGCGTTTTACGCGGGCGCGGTAGTGGTGGAAAGGTTGAGAATGAACAAGAATTGGCGGGACGAGTGAAATTAAGAAAATGACGCGTGGTGTGAGTTGGTGTGCGAGTGTGTTTGTATCGCGAGGTGTGATGCTCGATTATGGGGTAAAAACTGCTAGGCATGGTATGGGACGTGCCCAAGTGGGTTTTGCTCTATAATCGGGCACGCACGGCCTTGTGATGTATTTCGTGGCATACTTGGATGTGTGGTTGACTAACGTGCGAGGGACGTGCGTGAGGAATTCCAGGTAGGGTCGCATGTGATTGTTAGTTGGGTGATCGTTGTGTGTTATGTGTGTTTTTCGTCCAGCGGTACGTGAGTGCCTACGTGGGGTTTGGGGTTGTACACTTATTGAGATTCGTCTCACGGTTGTATAACCGTCACTTTGCACCCCTACCCTAAACCCGGAAGTGCGCCTTTTCTTTTTGGAAGTCCTGGGAGCTACCGTTGGTACCTGTGGAGCCGCAGGTGAGTTCCGGAGATTCGAGCGAGAGATTCGGAAGCGTACGGAGGAGGGCGATCCTTAGGTTTTTCCTTAAGATTTTGGGGGTTGTGTAAATCGGGTTGACCCATAGGGAAGTTAAGTTAACTGGACTCGATATTTTGTTGACGGTGATTTCGGATGCTAGTTTGTTAATTATGCCTGTAATATGATGTTTGTATATTTGGTGTTGTATGAATATGTGGTTGCTGGATTGTTCTGTTGTTCTACCCCGTTGTCGTCATTATTTGTCCGGGGTTTTGTTATTCGCTTCCGCATGTGGCTCTGATGTTTGGGTTGGGTCGGCGACGTTCCTGGGACGTCGCATCATTTCGACCGGAGCAGGGGATGCCGCGAGCTCGTTCGGGTTCGGGGCGTGACATTCCCCAATTTCCATGTTCAATCTCCACTCGTAGGCACAGGTAAACAGATAGCCTCCATGTTTATTAGCATTTTGCATCCACCGGTTCTCTAAAGTTGAATCCTCTTGAGAACCAATCGAACTTGTTCATACCCCAACAGGGACACGGAAACACCAATGTAAGAGCTCTGCATCTTCTCACCACAACCTGCATTGTTGAGCAAGATCATTCAAGTTGAGGCTTAGTCTAAGAGGATTTTAACCTTCAAATTAGGCTTCTAGGAAAAATATACCTCCTAACCGTCCTCAAAGCAGCTGAATATGTGAAATGTGCAGCTTGATTCTACATAAAACCATCAGACTGAACTCACGTCTCCATAACGTAGCATCACCCCTATCCTCGCATATCTTCCTCGTCATACTTCAGTAACCTACATTCCAAGAAAACGATTAGCTGCTTCAACAAACTAAAAAACTTTCACTAAGAAAGGCATTAACGGCTCCTGCAAATCAACGCTACATCATGAGATCAACTTGTTATCCACTAAATCAATTAGCACCGAAACATGCCGTAATATGCCAGTGAGGAATCTCCATCTTTCCAGAGCAGTCTTGACACCAAAACTCTCACAAAGCAATTACAACGTCCAGCTCTGCTTACATTCCTATGCCAAAACAAATAGTCCATTTACACAGGTTCACTCCTAATCTCACAACAGAACCACCTCCACATATGGTTCTCTTTGGGTTTCATGTCCCAGATCAAAATGACATCGTTTATTTTGTCGTGTACAGCACGATATAGTATATCTTGCTATTTCGAATGTCCATAATGAGCATCAATGGAACAAATCCACCTTGCACAGCGTAAAATTTCTAATGCTTGAATAATTATAACATAAAATCAGAAGATGATTTTTCCAGACCGGATGAATTTGATCGATATTCTGCCCTTGGTCTAATGTGACACGTAAATCTGATCAATGAATACAAAATGGCCAGTGAATCTTGTGAAGAAAATATAGCAGTGTATCAGAACATGCTAATTATTTACCATGAAAAAGAATGGTTAAGGGACTGAGATAACTGTAGTTAAGGGATTTCCTGAAGAGTACATATGACTTATTTGGAGCAATTGATCTTCCAATCGAGCATCCTCGTGGAAAATATGAAATCGAAAGTATCTGCACAAGCGAACAAACATAACCAAATAGATTTCAAGGGAGGAAGCCAATCATTCTTCAAAAGTAGTACTTCGAGAAAATTATAACTCAGATTTGGTTGGGATAGTAATTGATAGCTCATCCCAGACGAACAATCTTTATTTGATGGCTCATGACATCTGACGTACATGGAATGCATTCTGATCACTGTTTGCATTGTCAAGAAAATGATTTCTCTGAAGCTCACATCATTCTCCTCGATTAGATTTCCCATTCCTTGAATCACGTAAGAGCAGGAAACAATACCCTGTTGTCATGGAAACTGACTAAATTCAACCTAATTATTTTATGTAAAGGGAAAGAAGACACAAAGAAAATTTTTATGGACACTTCCCTCTTTCACCAGTAAATTTAAAATTTTGGATATTAAGTATTTTTCAGCCCAAAATGAAAAGTACAAATTAAAGAAAAGAACTAGAAAACCGAAATGAAGTTGTAAGGGGCCCTTTGGTCCATGAAATGGTTTTTAGTTCTCGTTTTCAATGTAAACGAAAATTAAATTATTTTTCATTTCTCTCTTTTTTTGTTCTATTGAAATGTGTTTGGTCGATACAAACAAGAACTTCGAATAGGAATGAAACTTTAAACATGCTTATCGTGTCTTTGCAATCCATCATTTTGTACCTTCTTTAACTAATAATCCATCTTTTTATTCGGTGATTAAAGAGTACCATGGTGGGTTATCAAGAAAAATTTCTTATCAAGTAGGAAATGTTAAGTGCCCTTGGACCAGATAGTTTTAAAGGGAAATTTTTTCAGTTCCGCTAGGAGACTCTTCAGTTCAAAGTATTTGTAGCAGTTAAAGAATTTTTTTCCTATCAGGAAAACTGAATCCTGATTCAAACCCACATTACTCTAGTTCCAAAAATTCCTAACCCAGAAACTCTTGATCAATTCCGTCCCATTAGTTTGTGCAATTTTGCCTACAAAATCATATCCAAGGTAAAGGGGAATAGACTCAAACCTTAGTTATCGAAATTGATAGCTCAAGAGCAAAATGCATTTGTGAGTGGGAGACTTATCCAGGACAATATCATGATAGTGCAAGAAGTGTTGCATCAACTAAGAGCAAAGAAGAGGAGGAAAAAAATTCCAGGCAGTTTTGAAACTTGACATGAAAAAGGCGTATGAGAGAGTAGAATGGGATTTCTTGGAGGCATCATAAGAAAACTGGGCTTTGATGAAAAGTGGATTACATGGGTTATGAAATGTGTATCTTTAGTCTCATTTATTTCCTTATCTCTTTAAATTGGTAGCAAATGTTTTACTCTAATGATGAAGAAGGCAATGGAGGATGGCTGTATAAATGGTATTAAGCTCAACTCTTTTTGCCCTACCATATCACATCTCTTATTTGCGGATGACTCCATCTTCTCTTTAGATGGGAGAATTCAAGAATGCCATTCTGTATCAAATGTACTGCATCAGTATTGCTTTGCTACTGGATAGGAGATAAACCTAAACAAATCGGGAATATTCTTTAGCTCAGGGTGTCCATAGACCTTAAGAGCCAATATGGCTTATGAACGGCGTGTCCCTGAACTAGATAAAACAGGAAATTACCTTGGAATTTCTTCGGATTGGGGAGAGTCTAAGAAGAATATGTTTCCCTGGATACTCGGAAGAGTTAACAAAAAATTGGAAGGCTGGAAGGAATCTTTAATTTCTAAAGCAGGGAAGGAGATATTACTAAAAACAGCAGTGCAGGCTCTTCCTCAATCTGCAATGTCAATTTTCAAGATTCTTATTTCCATATGTAAAGCGATTGAATAGAGAATGACAGCATTTTGATGGAAAAGGAAAGAATCTCACTCTGGTATGCATTGGAAGAGTTGGGATTTCTTGAAGCAAAGGCAAGACAATGGAGGCATGGGATTCAAAGATTTTCTTTCTCTTAATAAGGATTTCTTAGGAAAGCAAGCCTGGAGATTAATGCACCAGTCTTCCTCTTTATGGGGTCAAATTTTTAAAGGAATATACTTCCCAAAAAGGAGTTTCCAGCATGCTGGGAAAGGGCACAGACCCTCTTGGGGCTGGCAAAGCTTACTAGAGGGAAGAGACACAATCTCAGAATCTTCAATATGGACAGTGGTAACAGGAGAAGCAATCAGTATCAGAAAGGACAAATGGTTCAAAAGAGGTGTAATTGGAGCGCCAGCCAGCGAATGAAAATGACCCACAACAGGTAATAGAACTTATAAACCACGAAGAAAATTCCTGGAATGAACCTCTTCTTCAAAATATTTTCAAAGAGGGCACTGTGAAGGACATTCTGGCTATTCCTCTAAGAAGTAAGAACCCCACTCTATTCAAGACAAACTGATGTGGATATATTCATCAACAGGAAATTACTCAGTAAAGAGTGGCCACAACTACATAAGACTTACCGAGACTATCCAAAAGCCCTAATGGCCTCCTCATCTTTCTCGGCTCCTCGAGCTTTATGAAATGAGATCTGGAAAATGCGAACAATCCCTAAAATTAAGTTCTTTCTATGGAATGCATATCAGAATAGTCTACCCACAATGGAGGACCTACACAACCGAAAAAATAGTACCAGATCCTTACTGCTCATTGTGCAAAGACCAGGTGGAATCCACAGAGCATCTCCTTCTCTTTTGTCCTTGGACGCGAGACATATGGGCTCAACCATCCCTAAACATTCAGGTTTCTTCCCAGGGGTCAAGCAGAATAGAGATATGGCTAACGCAATTCCTTGAAAGCACAGAAAACCCACCTTCTCTGGCGCTTGTAGCAACCATCTTTTGGTTTATTTGGACTTCCCGCAACGACTTCATCTTTCGAAAGAAACCCCCTAGATCCAGTTCAAGCAGTACAGGAAGCTGTAACTTCTCTCGGAAATTACAGGAGTGTTGGGAAAAAGAACAGTATATGCGAAAAAGGCCTGGATAATTTTCCCACTACTATTTCTGTGACAATTAAATAGGATAAAATATTTGATGAAAGCTGTAAAGACGAATAGTAAATAACACCAGAATTTTAACGTGGAAACCCTCCAAGGTGAAGGGAAAAACCACGGGACCGTAGTCCACTTCAAACTTCCACTATGATAAATAATGGGATACAACTTCACCCTAAGGTGGATCTCCCACTGTCTTCAATTTGTGGATCTGAACCTCTCACAAACTGGATAACTCTCTTGAAGATAACTCTCTTGGAAGAAGAAGATTGTTTCTTCCGCTATACTATGATCTTCTTGCTTTTTGTATATATCTCTCCATTGAGGAGGACTCCTATTTATAGGAGCAAATGCAATCCCAATTGGAATTGTACGATATGAAAATCACGGTGATTTGTTTCCGAAACATTCATGATTTTCTGGATGTGGAAGATCATGTTGATTTATCTCCCGATCTCTCTTGATTTTCTTTCCCCCTCCCTTTGGCCTCTCCAATTGGGAGTGACCTACTCAACAAATCTCCCCCTCACGAACAATTCGGAGAGGGTGTCAAACCTGCAAAAGTTCGACAAGCTTGCATCTTCACTATAGATAGGGATTTTGTCATCATATCTGAGCCGTTGTTGTCAGTGTGTATTTTCTTTAACTGCAAGGCTTTTTCTTCCAACACATCACGTATCCAATGATATCTGATATCAATGTGTTTGGACCTGGAGTGGAAAGTTGCATTTTTGCTGAGGTGTATTGCGCTTTGACTATCCGAGTACAAGATATACTTCTCTTGGTTATGGCCCACTTCTTGTAGGAACTTCTTCATCCACAAGAGTTCTTTACATGCTTCCGTTATCGCAACATACTCTGCTTCGGCAGTAGATAGGGCAACACATTTTTGTAGTCGAGATTGCCATGAGACTGCTCCCCCTGCAAAAGTCATTAGGTACCCCGATGTAGACTTTCTTGAGTCCACATCCCCTGCCATGTCTGCATCCGAAAAACCTTCTAACATGGTTTTATCATTACCAAAGCATATACAGTTATTAGAAGTACCTCGGAGATACCTGAATATCCATTTGACTGCTGCCCAATGTTCCTTACCGGGATTGGATAGGAACCTGCTTACCACACCAACTGCATAGGCGATATCAGGCCTCGTGCATACCATCGCGTACATTAGGCTGCCAACCGCCGATGCATAAGGAACCTTTTCCATTTCCTTCTTTTCTGTCTCACTTTTCGGGCATTGCTCCAAACTGAGCTTGAAGTGGTTTGCAAGTGGAGAACAAACTGCTTTGGATTTATTCATGTTAAATCTTTCAAGAACTTTATTAACATACCGTTCTTGAGATAACCAGAGTTTACGGTTCTGCCTATCTCGGAAGATTTCCATCCCAAGAATTTGTTTTGCAGGTCCTAAATCCTTCATCGCAAAGGACTTGCTTAATTCCTTCTTTAAGTTGTTGATCTTGCTTTTATCCTGGCCAACAATTAGCATGTCATCGACGTAAAGCAAAAGAATTAGGAAATTACCATCGGTAAATTTCTTGACGAACACGCAGTGATCAGCGGTGGTTTTGTTGAACCCATTTTCTTCCATGAATGAATCGAACTTTCTATACCACTGTCTTGGTGCCTGCTTGAGCCCGTAAAGACTCTTCCTCAGTCTACACACAAGATTTTCTTTGCCTTTGATTTTGAAGCCTTCAGGCTGATCCATGTAGATCTCCTCGTTTAGATCCCCATGTAAAAATGCAGTCTTCACGTCAAGTTGCTGGACCTCCAAGTTCAAGCTTGCTGCCAAGCCAAGAACAACTCGGATAGAAGACATTTTAACCACAGGTGAAAATATCTCGTGGAAGTCGATATCTTTCTTCTGAGCGAATCCCTTCACAACCAACCTTGCTTTGTATCGTGGTTGTGAGTTACCTTCTTCAGTCTTTAGTCTGAACACCCACTTGTTTTTTAGAGCTTTTCTTCCTTGTGGCAATTTGACTAAATCATAAGTATGATTTTCGTCTAAGGATTTCATCTCCTCTTGCATAGCTTTTAACCACTTCTCTTTGTGCTCGTGGAACACAGCTTCTTGGTAGTTCTCTGGTTCTCCCCCGTCAGTGAGCATCATGTACTCGTTGGGAGAATATCTACGACTAGATTGTCGTTCACGGGTTGATCTCCTCAATTGAGGTTCTAATGGGACCTGTTCAATAATTGGTTCAAGTTCAGTTGAAGTAGTCATACCTTCAATGCTAGATTCAGCTTGCTCATTATTAGAATCAGTAGGAGGAGCGATTGGGCCAAGATCAACAGGGTATTCGTCTATTGATTGAGATTTCTTGTGCTTCTCGAAGTCCTCGATTGTCTGATCTTCAAGAAATACCACGTCCCTACTTCTGACTATTTTTCGGCTAACGGGGTCCCAGAGTTTATAGCCGAATTCTTCATGAGCGTAGCCCAAAAAAATACATTGTTTTGATTTCCCGTCAAGCTTTAATCTCTCATCCCTGGGAATGTGAACAAATGCTCTACAGCCGAACACCTTCAAGTGGACGTAAGAAGCATCTTTACCGGTCCAGACACTTTGTGGTACGTCACTGTCAAGTGGTGCTGAAGGTGATAGGTTGATTAAGTCAACTGCCGTCCTCATTGCCTCACCCCAAAAGTGGTTTGGCAGCTTTGCGCTGGAGAGCATGCATCTGATTTTTTCGCAGATGGTTCTGTTTATCCGCTCCGCGACACCGTTGTGTTGAGGTGTTTTTGGTACGGATCTTTCTAGTTTGATCCCGAAACTTTTGCAATAATCCTCGAAAGGTCCTCGGTATTCACCACCGTTGTCTGAACGCACACACTTCAATCGCCTTCCTGTTTCTCTTTCAACCTTCATATGAAATTGCTTGAAGATTTCCTGCACTTGATCTTTAGTTTTCAAGGCAAATGCCCACACCTTTCTAGAGTGGTCATCAATAAATGTTACAAAATAAAGCGCACCTCCAAGTGTTCTAGTTTGCATTGTGCATACATCAGTATGTATTAAATCTAAAATTTCATCTTTTCTAGATGGTGGGGAATTACGAAATGCTACTCTGTGTTGTTTTCCCATAATGCAGTCGACACAAGAATTTAACAGTGTACCTTTCATTCCCGGTAGGAGTTGCTTTCCAGTGAGAATCTTGAGTCCTTTCTCACTCATGTGTCCGAGTCTTTTATGCCATAACTCGGTGGTGACTCCTTTCCTGTTACATTCACCTCTCCTCTACACAACTTGGATTGTGTGATGTAGAGAGAGAGCAAGTTTTTTCTCCTTTGGCTACCACCAAATTACCTTTAGTAAGCTTCCATTTCCCATTACTAAAGAAATTGCTGTAGCCTTCATCATCGAGCTTGCCGGTAGATATAAGATTGAGACGTATGTCCGGAACATGTCTTACATCTTTGAGTAAAAGCCTACATCCAACATTAGTCTCCAAATAAATATTACCCATACCAGTAATTTTGGATGTACCGTCGTTTCCCATCTTTACAAAGCCAAAGTTGCCGGTGGTGTAAGATGTAAAAAGATCTTGACGAGCCGTGACATGGTAGGATGCGCCGGAGTCGACTACCCATGTCGAATCTTGGGATGCATGATTAATGGAATCATCACTTTGAATAATGATTACCTCGTCTGCAATATTTGTGGTGTCATTCGTATGGTTCTCGTCAGCTTTGTTGATGTTATGACTCTTTGATTTTTCTGCCTTTAGCTTTTTGCATTCTCGGATGAAGTGTCCCAATTTACCACAATGATGGCACTTCTTGTCTCGTCCGAAGTTGGATTGGGACTTTCCTCGCCGCGATTTCGAAAATTTCGGCTTTTGCTTCTCCCTCTCCGTTCTTGATTTTCTTGTCGGTTAATGACAAGGGCCTCGGATTCCAGTTTGACTCCGCTCTCTTTTCGCCGGGATTCTTCATTCAACATTCTATCTTTTACCATGTCCATGGTAAGCTTGCCGTCAGGAGCCGAGTTGCTGACTGACACAACAAGTGTGTCCCAGCTTTTCGGCAAAGAGCTAAGTAGCAAGACAGCGCCCGCAACTCATCATCTAATGTCATCTTCATAGAGTTGAGTTGGTCTACTATACCTTGGAACTCGCTCATGTGTTCCGAGACACTCGCTCCCATCTTCGTATTTCAAATTCACGAGCCGCCGCATGTGATTTGCTTTATTTTGCGCCGTTGTTCTTGCATACATTTTCTCTAATTTTTGCCAAAGAACACCAGCATCATGTTCATTAGCAAAATTTTGAAAAATACTCTTGTCGATCCATTGCCTGGATTTGAGCAAAGACACTTTCGATTGAGCACCATCCATTCACTTTCGGACATGGTCGTTGGTTTGCCACCAGAGGACGATGTCGATTTGTCTTTCGCGGCAGGATCTACCTCCTTGGACGTTGGTGTTGGTTCCTCCATTGGTATCACGATTGGCCTCCAAAGGTCTTTAATGTATAGCAGATCCTCCATCTTTGGTTTCCAGATCGCATAATTGAATGCGGTCAATTTTATCATGTTGCCAGAATTCTCCTCCATTTAATTCTGCACAGAAAAATAATATATAGAGCAACCTAGCTCTGATACCACTTGTTGGGAAAAAGAACAGTATATGCGAAAAAGGCCTAGATAATTTTCCCACTACTATTTCTGTGACAATTAAATAGGATAAAATATTTGATGAAAGCTGTAAAGACGAATAGTAAATAACACCAGAATTTTAACGTGGAAACCCTCCAAGGTGAAGGGAAAAACCACGGGACCGTAGTCCACTTCAAACTTCCACTATGATAAATAATGGGATACAACTTCACCCTAAGGTGGATCTCTCACTGTCTTCAATTTGTGGATCTGAACCTCTCACAAACTGGATAACTCTCTTGAAGATAACTCTCTTGGAAGAAGAAGATTGTTTCTTCCGCTA